ACGCTCTAAAAGTGCACATAATGTCATGATTTCATCTCCCTGCTTCCTCTGCTCTCAGCCACCTGCAAGGGCTTTTGGCCACGCCCACTTCTTCGCTCTACACGGAGAACAGCTGATCAGTTGCAGCAGGAAGCTTATCCTGCAGTGTGGGCTACACACGGCTGAACAGAGATGCAGCAGGAAGCTTTTTCTTCATCTGTGGGCCACACAAATGTACAGCAGGTGCTAAATAATTTTAAATAATTTAATTTAAATAAAAATTCCATGCCGATCGTGAGGCTCATCCATCAATCAGCCAACTGTGTGTCATGTCCAATGTTATTTTGAAAAACCACGAGAGTGAATCTGCCAAACACAAACCGCAAAGTAGCGAGGGACTTATATATACTGTATATAAATACTACTACTTGTACTATTATTCCTACTTTGCGGTTTTTCATTTATCGCTGGTCTTCAGGGTATGGATCCCCTGCGATAAACGAGGGACTACTGTAATTGGACTTGAATTTTAGCTTATTTTCTTTTATCAGTAAGGTGTACTGAAAAGTGTTTTATTGGCCATTTAGAAGAACTCCTAAATTAAAATGAATATTTTCTAAAATGCCTGATGTTGCCCAAAACACATAAATCTGTTGTTATTACATGACTTTCAAATTATTACTTGCCTTAAGCTGAGCGGCCCAGTCTCTTGATGAATCAGGAATGTTTCCCAACGCTCCAGGTGTCAGCCCGTCAAAGACCTGGCTGAGTTTCTCAGGTGGTACAGCTGAGGTAATGTAGTTATAGAAACACGAAGACTTGGCCAGCGTAGAAGAGATCTGTGGGCAGGAGCACAGTCCCTCTCTAACACACTGCTCCAGAGAGCGTGAGAAACAGTTTACCCGGGAAACACCTAAACCCTGCTCCCATGACTCCCCCCAGTCTCCTTCCTCTCCACCAGCACCGTGGCCATTCCTGATCTGTTGCCCATCATTCTCGTTGTTCACCATCTCTGTGTCGTGTCCACTTTGCCCGTTAACAAGAACAGGTGGAACCAGGAAACCGGGAAGACAGCATGACCTTGCTGTCGCCGTTGCTGGGAAAGGGTCGGCGACGACACAAAATGCTCTCCCCGACACGCCGTGAGATTGACAAACTTCATCAAAATCTGCAAGCACGCGCCTGCCAGAGCAGCCGCCGCTCAGCGGGAGACACGCCAGCAGAGCTGAGCGAATCTGCCAATCAGATGCAAGATAATGGCAGGTGACACCAAGGTACCTAGAAAGAAAAAGAGAGGCATGGACTCTTGAGTGAGGGAACTTTAAGAAGTTCCTGATTTGTGGTTTAACGTTTGACCTCCTTACCCTGAAGTAGTTTGAGATGAGCTGTTCCAAAGATCCAGGCTGAGGCTGAGGACCTGAGCTGATGCCAAGGCTTGACGGGTCGCCAGCTGGGCCTGGTAAGCGTAGGCTGGAAGGAGCTGGCCCTGAATGTGGTGCTGTGGCTCAGGAGTGTAACGTGGCTCCAGAAGCTGAAGCAACTCTCTGAAGCCTTGATTTTCCACGATGGACACCGGCTGCAGATCATGCACAATCATCTTAGCTATTGCCTCAGAGATCAGAACCTGCAGGGACAAAATAAAACGCACATTATGCTTCTTATAGCTTTTGGTTCAGGGGTGAAGGAGCCTCCATGTGTCCCTGAACATGGGAGCTATCATTAGAAGCTGGGAGAAATGCCAGAGGCTTAAAAGCAACCACCGAAAATAAAAACAGATGTATAGGGTTTTTTTTTTTACTATAAAAAACATGCATCATGTTTCACAAAAAATAAACAACATAAAAAAATAACCACAACCAGGCAAACCAGGGAATTTCACCATCTGATCATGTTTTTGTTTACTTTGATAGATTTTAGAAAGGAGCTCAGTTCCCAACATCCTAACAAGTTCTTTCTTACAGGAAAACTCCAAGTTAGTCTTCGGGATAAATTCTGTTTCAAAAGTTATGTGCAATTCACATGGATCCAGGCCCAGCTACAAGGTTTGTAAAGGACCTGTTCCACCTGTGAGAGACAGCTTGAGTGAAAAAAAGTAGATTTAATTCATATCTGTCATGAAATGAAAAATACTCCACTTTCAGTGGATCTTTATTAAGATCTGTTGATCTATCAAAGTACAGTAGTCCCTCATTTATCACGGGGGATATGTACCCCACGATAATTGAAAAAACGCGAAGTAAGAATAATAGTACAAGTAGTAAGTTGTAGTTCATTTTAGTATATAT